TAACATTCTATTATTATGGAGTATTGTTTATCTCTCCGCACCTCTAACTATAGCCTTGCCCCTTACATCCTCAGGATCAATGTAGTTGGAATTAACGAGTGTTTGAATCTGCAATGTATTCGTTTACTATTGAATACATACCTATTGTTCTTCCTTTGCTGTGTTGTATTAGACAATCGTGGAATACCACCTTGAAGCCATTTTACTACTTCCAAACGACATCAACAGTATCACGATCTTAGTGCAATAAAATGCTGGATGCCCTTACCACGGCAACCTTTGACTACAATTTTAAACACAGAATCCACACAAACATATGCGACATGCACATGATAAGATTTCTCCAATAGATCTGTCATTAGTCTTAGGGCGTAGAAATTTGAAATCTCTGAAGAGCAAGAGACCTTTATGACAGAGTCATGAAATTCTGAAACGGTAACAGCCACAGCCTGACCTGTACACATATACATATACAATCCGTATCACCACCACTACCCACATGTTTCCCCGCAGAAGAACCTGAATATGTAACTGCCATTTTCTGCAAGAAAAGGCGTGCACATCAATGGGAACTGATATGATGTTGATAATCGACGCAGAGAGAACAATGTTAAAATAGCTGTCGTCTCCGCGCAAGAATGAAGTCATGAAAGGTTTCCAAAATGGATTTTAATGTCATATTCATCAGTGAAATGTCGTTAATAATGAATATCCATGCTGAACAATGATTATTGGTATACATTCATAAGAAGAAAACAGGACCAAAGAGCTATATTATTTTTATTTTTATTATATGCATTTCCGCGGCAATGTCAGCCGCACAATGGCAACCCACATATTCGCATATGCCAAACTGTGCCACGTGTCCGTACAAAATTGAGAGTGGGGAGAACAAAACAAAAAAAAACAAAAAGAGAAACAAAAGAAGAACAACAACAAAAACAGGAAAATAATGATGGAGGACAAAGATGAAGGACCAGAACAGGCCGAACACGAGTAATATGCATGTATAAGAGAAGGGCGGCAGAAGACTACATAATGCAGCATACACGAACGAGGAAAATCGACCGAGGGATATTATACAGGGAAACAGATAAAGAGAGAGGGAGAGATACGATGAACAAAATACAACATTTGGAAAGAACTAAAGTGACAAACGAAGACAACAGCACGTGGCGTGCTGACCTGGCAAGGAGCTGGATGATGGTGATTCCTTGACAGCCGCACAAGCTCTGATGGTGATGGTGGCCTTCAGCATGCACCGACTCCCGAACCTGACTCCACAACGGATGCGCATCAGTGTCGTCCACCCGCGCTTTCGCTTCAGTTTCCACCTGCGACCACCTCGCCGATGGTTCAGTCGAGAGGGGGGGCATGGAGGTGGTGGAGCTTAGTGGCTGTCCATTCCTCGGCGATGGCAAGTCAGGCAAGCAAGTTTGATAAAAAATTACTCTCTCCGAAGAGAGAGAGAGGAGAAGCGTAACCTTCTCCAACCAAACAACCAAATATTATTTATATCCACTAACACCAACAGGTGCTTTACAATCAGCTCATGCGATAACATTGCACGACGCTGACAACCGGCATTGTCGTTCTGCACCTAACTGCCCATCAGGTCTAGCACATCTCGGATGCGCTCTCCAACCATCGTCGTGTGAAACTGCTGCTTGTCACTGCTGCTTATTTTCCATCTAAATTGTCTTGGTCGAAGTACTGTACAGAGGTGTTCGGTTCCTCACGATTCATGTTCGCTTATTTCTTCCTTTTTGTCGGGGTCTATGGGGGTTTGGAAAGCAATTTTGAAAATGTTTATAGGAGAAGGACCCAGGACTAGACCACAATAAACTTTTTTACACAGCAGTTTGTATTGCTATAATTGAAAAAGGCCTTTCAACTGCAAGATCTTAACGTAAAGCGTCTTTGTGCTCCGCCCATTCAACACAGCAACAACGACAGAGTTGCATAGCCAGTGACTGGCAATGTTGGCATAGCCAGGGGCTGGCAATGGCCTTCTTTGTGTAATTATAATACTGTTATCGTGATCTCTTTCTTTATTCATTTTTTGGGTTTGTTTTCTTCTTGAACTAAGTACATAAACATCCTACACTGCGAAACGAGCAATGCCCCGACAACGCAATTACAGTGTCCCAAAAAAAAGGCAAGACCGATGCAGAAGGCATCTCCGTCTGCGCAGTCCCCTGCCCCTACAACATACTCCTGCCCCTTGCTCCCGCTGAGAGCCTATTCAGGCGCACAGCCTAGCCTACGTATTAAATATTGTGGAAAGCAACAACAACAAAAAAAAACAACCCAAAAAAAACACCAAACACACGCACGATAAAGAAAGAACACGATATCCCTGAATTCTCCACCGACTGTGGGTGGGTGAGACGATGACCATGGAAATCCTGAGTTCACCATCGAATGTGGGTGGGTGGGAGAGTTCTGGTCCTATCAGAGAAGTAAGCTTCTGCGAAGTGACGAACACGTTGGGCTTTGTCTACTTTGCGCAGACTCGCACTGAAGCACCATGATTGCCATGGCTATGCACAAAGACACGTGCTTTCCAACTCTCTCACGGCCGCTGGCAACTGTAACTACTCGAAAGGATGTGTTTGCATAAGAAGTGTATCGTCGGAATTCATGCAGCAGTAGCTCTATAGTGCGAGTTAGAATCCCATCCTTTTGTGCCTAGGCCGTCAAGGTCACAGTGTCGCATTATCGCAATATCGTTGGAATGTTTTTGGGTGTGCTGTTATTGGGCCAGGAATGCAAGGCTCAGGTGGATTGCAGTGTGTTAATGCGCGCGTTTGTTGTATAAATGTTTAGATCATTAACAGAGATCTATGAGGAAGAGTAAAATGAGAGGGGTGAAAGTGTTTAGGCTTGAAGCAGACTGCGTCGGTGGAAGTGCCTACACAGAGAGTAGAAGATGGGGGAAGAAAGACCCCGCCAACTTTAGAGTAGCCATAAATGCAAAGGCTACACCGAGAACAAGAAACAAAGGAGCAAATAATCCGTCGTTTGGAGACTCGCCGACTTCGTGAAAAGATGCGTCGACAACCAGAGAACGATGAACAGGCGTCCAGTCGGCAGGAGAGAAGAGGTGATCATTTCCGAACGTGTTCGGTGAGAGGTGATTGCGGCCGTAGGCAGAGGGCCGTCATCTATGCAACCTATACTGACTAGAGCTGATCGGGTACATCATTGTATTGCAAAAACCTTTCTATCAGTTCGAATGACATGCATATGAAGAGGCAAAAAATCATAGCGTAGGGCCCTGAGCCTTTAAGCTATCTCGTAGCGTAATTTGTAGTTCCTTGGTCCTTTTCTTTACTATCAGATTCGATTCGGAACCATTACTCGATCTCTAGGCTACAAAGTCGTTGCACATATATGGGCACTGTGCGCTGGAAACCTATTCGATATCTTCATTCTCCCGAAACAATGTCCGTATGAAGACATCCAAGGAGAAGATTGCCTTATGAGTCCGGCGGGGACGAAACGTACGTTGCGATCAAGCTGTATCGCTGCTGTGTCATCTTCTTTATGCCATCCGCTACCTGATGTTCCAGCCCACTATGTCGGAAACTGCGAACTAGTCATCGATTAGGCGTCAGGCGCGACCTGATGGTGGTGGTGGTGAGCTCTGTGCAAGAACTTTGCAGCCCACAGAGCGTATTTGGGCAGGCGTGTAATTACATCCATATTGGCAGGTGTTTCTTTACCACCATATTAATCAACAAAGATTAGAACAAATAATCTAGAGAAAATCGATTCTGGGTTTTCAATCATATTTTTGTTATAGAATACACAGTAATACATGTCAAACAAGTAACGTAGTTGCGTGATGTCTGCGGCCCTCATCCTATTCAAAGCTTTATTAAAGCTTAGAACTTAACCCTTTGAAGCCCAGCTGGGTTTTCTGATTTCCCAGGCACTCGCACAGAGCTGTATGCAACCACGTATGGGTGATTTCAAAACTTCATAATTCACTCACCAGCAATGAAATTTCATGATCTAGAGCTCCATGAAAAGCTTGTGATCTCCTCTATCCAAAAATACAGACTAGACACTAAGCAGAAGCAACAGAAGCACCTCCAAGTCCCTTGAGTGCAGCTCCATCGCGTCTGAACGAGATACACCACCAACAGTAACAATTTCCTTCGGTTCATGACTTTTACTCAACGCAAAAGAACAATTCAAAGTTCTCCCTGTTGCTGAAACTCAAGAGGTCTTCTTAGTACCCATCGTGCATGGGCTGCACTGGTATGAGTCATGGGGAAACCCCATGAAAACGCGAGCAGTACTCGAAATATCTCAAAAATTCTCAAATTTAGAAGTATTCAGCCGCGTTCCGGTCTTCGCCGCTCGGGTATTTCGAGTCGCGCTGCCACAAGTGACACACCGCTGGACAGGTCTGTTTCTTACCGTTCTAACAAGCTATCGTCTTTGATAATCAAAGAAAGGACAATTGAGATACGAAGATTTGTACAGTGACCTATGCTCAATGCGTACACAGTACTACATACTCAGTAGACCTACCCTTGACTTGAACACAACACGTTAAAATCTTTATCAGCAGAATCCAAAGTTTGACGAAAGGGTAACAACACTCAATGCAAATTCACGTATGGAGAGTTGGTTCCAAACGGGTAGTCTCGACAAGCAATAGAACCAGGTTCAGGACTTGTCTTGATGTGTCACCGCATGCACTCTCTAGTTAAATTAGTTGATCATTTACAGAACATCCAATATTTACTTCACAAGACAATAAGTGCTGATCTCTTTAAAGTACTTCAAGTACATTTGTTCCTTTCATTGAATTTCCCTTTAACATGGCCTCAGTTTAAACGTAGTAGCCGTTTTTGGGGGACAATGAGTGAAATGCAGTGATTGAATATGAGCCAGTGTTGCTCACAACCATCTTTATACTTATGAAGCTGCGTGATGCGTCCTACAAGATTTTAAACCGGTTCTTTGTTAATTTTTTCCTGCAGCTTCGTCTTCGAATGCGATCCACATCAGACTCAGTCACAGTGGAATCAGTTCCACAACCGCAGTGTCCAACACAGCAACTTCATCCGCACAGAGAGATGACTCCAATCGCAATGTACCATCAACGCCAACAATGACTGAGCTGGGAGACTCTCATTGGCCATCTGTACTCAGCCAAGGAGCCATACTAGGCATTTCAGTATCACTCATTTTCAGTGGACTCCTATTGGCAGCGCTCATACTACGTAGGTGTCGATCTTCCAGGAGGCACACGGAAGGCAGGACAGCTCCCAAAACTGGTGAGGCGGGCCAGAGCAATTCAGTAGACCGTCCAGATGCGCCTGGCACCAGCACGCACGAGATCGCCATGTACGAGACTGTGACAAATGATGCTTCGAAACGCTGCGAGGAGCCAGGACCAACGCCAGATAACAACCCCTCCATTGTTCCGATGTACGAGAGCATTGGGTATGTCAGCAGCACAAATAAATCGTGTAAACTCACTGAAAGTTTTGCCTATGGAATCGATTCGGATACCAAATAAAATATGAATTATCGCATAATAATATTTATGCTTTACATGTCCCTTTTTAGCATGCCCAATGACAGTTTCGATTAGCAACTCCCCACCCACCATTTCCCTTTCCGATACGCATTTATCACGGTGCCACTCTTAACGCATTATTCGCATATTCATGGATCTCTGTTCTCCCAAATGACATGATTTTAGCTTCCCTGATTATATTTCTTAACACTGGATCACAGAATTACACTGGATGTACCGGGTGTCAGCGGCCGTTGTGATCAACCTTCGTGAACGGATACGATGATTTATTCTCTTTTTACTCTCTTTTTCAAACCTTACATGCTAACTGTGTAGTCTTCTTACCGCTCTTATTAGGGCATACTTTCACTTCACTCTAATATAGGTTTTAGTTCTCTCCTTCCTGCAATATTCGACTCACCGAGAAACTTCGCGCTTTAAAGGAGCCTCTTGAAGTCTTCGAAAGTAATCTTCTTTAAGCTCCCCCCCCCCGTCTTTAACAATATGTATTTTGTTCTGACTTTACGAGTCGTTAGACCGCATGGTCTTCTCGGCTCGTTATCGTACCAATCCAGCATTCCATAAGGCCTTGGAATTTGGTTTCATGTTCGGATCAAAGTCACTGACCTCCCCCACACTGGAATTTCCACTGATATCAATACTCCAAGTTCGATGGCTGTTGGTTAGGGCTATAGTGCAGTCATTAAGCTGAATTTCATGTCGTAGAATGTTCCACTACTCCTTGTCAATCTGTTGATAACATTGTGCACGTCTGTTTGTCCAAAATCTGGTTTATTTGGTGGGCTAGAAGGCATAACCCGGGCGTTTTCCATACCCATTGATCAAGACTTATTGAGAATTGCAGATCCCACACAGAGAAATATTTCCCTTTTGCTTTTGCCCTGATCATTGAAGAGCTGCCCCCCCCCCCCTCCATGAAGTCTTGTAGGTATTGATCTAGCTCCGCGCCGGGCACAAGATTGTCCTGGGAGCCGTCTACCGGTCGGGTTCTTGCGGGCCCCGTGACCTGTCACTTATCCATCATCTCAACGACACCCTTCCTTTGGCCGGTCAACACGCTCTAGTCTCAATCTTGCCGGGAACTTTAAGTTCAGAACCGTGCCTGGCTAAGCAGGTAAAATACCACACCGGTGGGCGAAGCCTTGAGGACACTTGTGCTTCGCACCTTCTTACGCAGCACGTTCTGACTCCTAATCCTTGCGACAATAACCTTGATCTCGTGATGTCCACCTTCAACTCTCCAGTATTGACAACCGCTACACCCCCTCTTGGACCACGTTCACATGCTATCCGAATTTGTTCGCATATTACCTGCAGCAAAGCGAACCGTCAGCGCTGCAGTAGGTTATGCTAAGTTTCAGTGGGACTGTCCACCGCTGATCTCTTCAAGATTCATAATTAACAGCACTTGGAAAGAGAACAGTGGAGCTTGCGAATGCGTTTTCGACGATTTGAGGGAGGGGGCTGGACAGAAAATCCGCAATTGCATATTACAATATATTAAAGAAGCTGCGTGAATCACCTGAGAACCAATGGAAAGTAGCTTCCCACAATATCCTCTAGAATCAAAGCAGATGTTTCCACAGAATTTGATTGAGTTTTGAATGCGAATAATTATAATTATTATCAGTGAACAACTTTATGACATAGCATTTATACTAGTATAAAGCTCTTTGGCCTGCATCGGGCTTGAAAGCACTAAGTCCTCCACCCCTTGTTGACATTCTCATGCATTTACATGCATATGCAGTAAACGCAGCAGAGTCCATTCAATTATGTGTACAATGCCTAGGACTATGCCAAAGACCTCGATGGGGGAATTAACCAACTAACAGGCTAAGCTGACTTTAATCGGTTGGCCTCCTAGACTAGCCCCCGAGTGTGCGAGCAGAAGAAGTCTTGGCATTAACTGTGCTGTATTGCATGCCGGTCTGTGGTTCATTAAGTTGATGGCAACTGGAATATTCATTGTATTCATCCATAGATAGCCACGTTCAGTCTGCGCACACATCCCATACAGTCGCGATTGCCCTTAGTCACGAAATGCATCCTGTTAGACCGACCAGGCTTCATAGCATGTCCCCAGTGATTGCTGTGTGGACATACAGTTACCCACCATATACGGTGACAACAGCATATTTAGGCATATAACGGTTATTGTGGTCTTTCACGATGACTGCATTCGATGAGTTGCCAGGAATACTCAGCACTGCTACTAAGTATATTGCTAATTAGAACGGCTTTCAACTCATGTGCTGTTCACGCTGCCTTGTTTGGCAGAAACGCAGATAAGTGTCCATCCCGTGCAGGGTTAATCAAGCACCCAGAAAAAAGTTGGCAGCCATCCAATAAGTTTTGACTCCAGTTTCCAAGTACCAAGCGTTGAGTACTATAAACAGACATCTGTCGTTATCAGGGCCATATGTTGCATTGTTTTGCGGGCATTGTTTGCATCCTGACCTCCTTAGCTTACCATAATGCACCACATGTCTATTCGCCGAGCCGCAGGATTCAACAACAGATGGTAAATACTCCCTACAACCAGGATTCTTCTACAGTTTCAAGGCTTCGGTCTTCTCAGTTCTCATACTGTGCTAAATGCTCTAACGTAGATACAGCTAGTACGAGTTCTGCGCTGCACACGAACAACAGCACAAGCAGCTACGATCTCATTTCCTATAAAGAGAGCTCTTGAAATATTCAACGCTATGCTCAATGATTGTTCTGTTCAGAAAGCTACACGAATCTTCCTCCAAGCTAGAAAGTATCAGAGAGTGCCAGTGACAAGAGAAGGGAGTGACGATGAAATTTCCAATAGTTCTATTTCTATTTGGTAAGTTTTCCATAGTGTTTGATCTAGGAATTTAGGAATTTGGGTATGTGATTAGCTATGGAAGAAATTAGTAAACTCCTAAGGCTCTGAATTCACAAGTACCATTATGGGCCTCAACAAGCGAAAACAGCCCTCAGGGCCATCATTTTCAAAATCTCTTTTTGGTTAGAAATTTGTTGAAACACATCTTCTGAAGGACCTCAGTTGAGAAAAAGTTCAATATTCCGATTCATAACGTGTTTATACACCAATATACAAGATGTACTCCTGATTGGCGCAATTTATGTGTACGATGCATGTGTACAATAAATATTCAGCATTCTAAGGTGGGTGGGCTCTTGACTACCTTTGAAACAGTGCAGTAGGTAGCTAGAATTGCAAAGAATAGCTGAAGAGTGCGGAGGCATGATCGACATATTCGCAGCTGCATCCTGCGTGGAGTCGTTCCGCAATCTAGTCTTCCATTTCTTCAGCAACTGAAGACATGGCGTCGCTGCCGTCACAAGCCCCAGACTCAGAATTATTTATTTATTTCACGTGACGACTGTTTATCTTCCGACTCTGACGAGTCATCGGCCACCTTGAGCAGGACATGACGGCTGCGATTCCTCCTCGCTGTCGACAAGGATGTCGGAACCAAAGAACGTCTCATCCTCACTCTTCAGCGGCTACTTCAGCATCTGCTTCCCACCAGGCTCTAGCTAGCTGTACACAATGACAGCCGCGTGTGCTCGGTGAACAGCTCTGGCGTCCGCAGCCATCGCAACAAGATCAAGGAACACTCGAGTCGCAACTCGACACCACTTCAACTTCAAAATAAATTACTTCAAGCAAGGAGCTCGAGAAGAACTTGTCGCGCTGTTTGCAGCGCGATCAAAAAATCGTTGAACGTCACAAATCGACATTTTCTCGAAAAAATTACGAAACCTCTAAGGGTCGTTTTCGCTGAATGCGGCTCATATTGGGAAATCCAGAACCTCTATAGAATTTTACGTTTTTTTGTTGTTTTTTCTTTAGCCAAGTAAATCCGTCATGTGTGAGCCATGATTAAGGGGAGTTGTGGCATGGTCTGTGATGCTCTGCCGACCTTGGGTCTCGGCTTCATCACAACTAGGTGAGCCAATGGCACACATAAAGAGAAGAGAGAGAGAGCGAGTGAGAGAGAGGGAGAGAGAAAGAAAGAAAGAAACAGAGAGAGAGTGTGTGTGTGTGTTAGCAGCAGTATCCAAAATTCCCGAGAAAACCAAATTGGAGAGCCGAGGAATCTAATAATTCGTCGTTCGATTTTAGCATGCAAACAAGGAACTGCGGTGTTGGTGATTGTCTTGCACCGTGAAAAAACCCAGTTACCATCAGTATGTGTGGCATTCGTCGTGAACCTCCTTCAGAATGATAAACTTGTCAGCGCCTTCTAAGTTTGGCATTGTCCCATACCTCAGAACATTTGAGAATTGCTTGTGACAAGCAAGGTCCGGTCTTCCAATCCTGTTTGGATTGACAATTTTTCCCTTTTCAGGCAGTTCACTTCCCCCAGTGGTCCTTTGATTTTGAAGTTATGCCATTCTTTCAAAATCATAGAAGAAAAACGTTACGAGAAATTGAGCAACGAGTTGTGCCTGCATCCAAAGGGATTTGTTGCATAGCTCAAGCCTAGTTAACATCATTCGACGTGGCACGACGGGACGCGACCCAAGGATCAACGGTAAGCGACGGAACGGTCTGACGGCGTCGAATGAGAACACTAGGAACTGGAACGCAACCGTACTACTATCCAGATCGGGAAGCGACGGGAAGAGTTGGATCGATCCAATTTTTCATACCATAGACAGGCATAGACGGAGACGCAAGCGTCCAAGACGGCTGAAAATCGAGTGTGAACAGCAGACGGCGTCGTGCCCCGACTACTCCCGATTCGTGCTTGGACATTTTACCATTTTGAAAACCGCACTTCCCATGATAACTCACAGAATGGCCAGCACGACTTCAGTTGAATTTTAGCATATTATATCATGTCACTTATTTTAATTAGGGATAGCTCAGGTATTCTATCCTTTCCTGGGCTATTATTTGAATACCACAACTTTCAGAGCTAAATTTGTGGTCTTCATAAAAAACTGATATTGTGAACTTGATTCCGCTTCTTTCACCCAGAAAATTATTAGTTGAAAAGAAGTACCGAAAGACAAGAAATTAGGTCCAAATGTCACCCCGTCACGGACCGCGCCTTATGAAATGCGCTCTTGGGCGTTGAACATCGCAACAGCTGCTGTATGTCGTGTCATACGATTCGTACAGGATTTAGCAGCTCACCCCAGACTTCCCTGCTGGCCATTACGTCCCGTACCGTCAGCGTTGCGTTGAATGTGAACTAGACTATACCACTTACCAGTCCTGGAGATGTCCTAGATAGGCCATCTCGGAACCCAGCATGCCCCTGCATACATACTATGCTGTTCCCATAGTAATCGTGACACGTGACTCAAAACTTTGTGTCGCGTCCAAGGAAGATGAACATGTAGCACTCAAAACAAACGCAACGAAGGCCTTTCGTCTCAAAAGTAGTTGTCGTTCTCCTGGCGGCTTGCCTCAAGCAAGTCGAGATTCGTATCTTGCCTTCACGAATTTTATTTTCCTCGTTGTGGAGTACGCCTGGACAAAGGAACTGGCAAGCGAATCGTTTTGGTCGCATTGAAAATTGCAAGTGCACAAGAGGATTGGCGAAGCAATTTGTGTTTGCACTTTCAGCAGAGCAGTAGCTGCTGCTGCGATAAAGTTTTTACTTTCGCCATAAGTTTCAGGCAGCGGAAGGATCTGGCTGAAAGCGATGGCGATACGTCCATGACCACCACGTCCTGGGTTGATATCCAAGAAAGACCGTCCAAGGTCCAGTTTTAGCCAAGAGCTGTCATATCCAAGAAATCAAAAACGCCAACAGCAAGCTTTGGCCAAATAATATCTTCCAGGCAGTAACTTACGGGCCTAGCGCCTGCGGCCTCGTCTTCCTCCTCTGATTGGCCAGGTTTGGTGCGAAATGAAGGCACGGGGCATGAAGAAACATTCCAAAGGCATAACATTCAAAATTAGAACCAATCGTTTCCATAGAAGCGCCGCGTGGCTACGAGAAACCCCACATGAAATCCCCAAACGAAAACGGCCATTCGGTCGGGTATTCGATGGTGAATCAAATATACACTACCTCAATCCTCGCCGATCTCAGATATTCTCTGCCTATTCCCTCAAACTTGACCATGTCGGAAAGAAATCCATCGCCATTACGATCGTGCATCCTCAACATACATTCAGAAATGCTCACGCAGCACTTCTTTTCATCCCGTGTGCGCGACCGACGCTTCCATGACAACTCCATGGGACAGGTAACCAATCAGACTCATTCAGAGTGCGATGTCCTAGATAGGACATCTACCCGACTGTTTACTGACACTATATTTGGGGTCCAAATCTAAAACCAATAGGCAAGAAAACAACGATGGAACTTTATCATCCACAGTGAGCGCCGGTAAAACTGGAAATACTTAGAATATACCAGAATTAGGGCACAATTACCGTCCTATGAGCCAGAGTAGTGTTGACATCACCGCCATACTGAGCTTTGCCCACGAAATGTAGAAACAATTGGCATCAAATTCACGTATGGTGAAATGCACGATTAAAGGGGAACTGTCACCAAAACAATTCTTTGTCTTATCTTGTAGGTCCTTGGCTCCTGATCAATATTGTGTAATCCATTTTTTTCTGCGATGGCTGGACGTGGGTGAAAACTTGAATAGAAGGTGCAAAATTGTCCCGAAGTACCGAGTGACGTCATGCCGGACTTGACCTCAACGCGTACATTCGTCGTCAAAAACGAAGTTCAGCCCGTGTGCTGGTCGATCGAGCTAGGTGTTCCAATGTACGGCGCACATGTGCCTTTTGAACTCTAGCACATATGGGTACGTCGTACAGAAGGAGAATGCCAAAAAGGCAGAGACCCAAGTGCAGTAACACAGCCAAATCAAAATAAAAAGCAGCTGAGCTTTCACCTTTTTGACTACTTCCGCGAGGATCTTAGTTTTATTTCGTGAGCACGGAATTACGTCGTTGTTTTGAACTTTTCGTGTGAGGAACAGCACGATAATGAGCGCGTATGCAGAAAACAGTACTCCTCCGGCTGGCGATAACACCACGAACCTAAGCCCAAAAGGAACGCAATGTAGCTACGTGAAGGCCATTCATCTGGCGATGTTGCTGAAGATGCAGATGACAAACTCCGACGTCTTTCATTTCAGAGCCGTGTGGCGAACACCGCTACCTTCGATACAATGACATAATTTTCAAGTATGAGGTATGTGTGTCACACAAACAGCAAACAAAAATCCTTCCACTCCTTGGTCATCACAAAATTAATAAAACAAAGAGCTGGAGCTTCGTGCACGCGTGGAGGAAGTACCAGTGCGATAAACTGCTGTCGACTTTTGTTTGTTTTGTCCCTTTTTGGGGTTCTCATTGTGTATAACGTACACATCAGTGTCCGAGTTCAGAAGGCAAGCGTGCACCGTGCATCGAACAGTTGGCTCGATTGACCAGCACACGGGCTTGACTTCGTTTTTGACGATGAATGTACGCGTGCAGGTCAAAATCCGGCGTGACGTCATTCGGTACATGGGGACAATTCTGGGGACTTTCTTTTTCAGTTTTCACCCACTTCCAATCATCGCATAGAAAAGCGAATAACGCCATCGTGATAAAGAGCCAAAGAAATACAAGATAAGACAAAGAAAATTTTTGGTGACAGTTCCCCATTAACCAGTGTCTGGAGATATGTGGATTTTGTAGAAAAAAACCCAAACAATTCACGGTTCACCTGAGACGTCTTAGTTAGATTGACTTTTCATTCTTCCTTAGAAACGCTACCACTCTCTTTAAAGTCTAAGCGGCAGCTGCAGGTCATAAAGCTGTGGAAGGTTAGTAGATTAACCCACGAGCAAAGTGGCCAAAGACACAATAATCTCACTCGTTTCGTCCATGGTTCCCTTGAGATAGGCCACGAGTTCCACATTAAGTTAAATGTGAGTTGCAGCACGGCTGGACAATATCCTTCCGCTTCCAAGCAGGACTTGAACCTGGTACCATACATTTATCAATCATGGTCTTATACCATTCCACTGTACCTGCCTGCCAAAACTCTTTATCATTATGTACTGCCTCTGTTAAGGACTGTGTTTCCCAATCTATGGTGGGCAAACGTGCAACAGAAGACAATGTTTCTTAGAAGGCTTCTACCAGGAGCAGACAAGATCCATTAAAACTGTTGGAGTCTTGTACTACAGTGCATCAACGAAACTGCACTCTAAGTGGCGGGAAGTGATCAAAGGCCAGAGAGTTTCTGCAAATTTTGAACCTACAACATCATGCAACATGGTAGTACGGTATGTCAACTTCTACATTAAAGGAGGATCATCCTGTCAAACAGATATTCAAATTATCCGAGGAAGCAAGAAGAAAACTTGGCGCCACGTTTCTAAGTGTGGCCTCAAAAGTACCGATTGTCTTCGATGGCATGTTCTGGATAAACTGTCATCCAATTTAAGGCAACAGTGTCCGGAGCCATCTAAAGTGAGTGTCTTCATCAAACCACTGGAGAGGGCAGGTACATTCTACCCGTGCCATGTCAGTGCAGACAAATATTTAACGATCATTCGTCTTTTCATGGAATGTAAGTGCATTATTACTTTTGCTGCAAGTCTTCAATCATGTTTTCATGTACACGTCCGCGCTGGCCTATAACCAACCATGTGGCGTGAACAGATTGTTTGACTTGAAAGATAGCGAGGTACGCGGACGTCTCTTAAACGTGGAGCGAAAAGATCTTTGTGGCGGGTGGTCTGCAAAAATTAAGTGACGGTCCATTTAGTCCTTCGCGATTCAGGGCATGTTCGATTGGTAGGATCGGAATCCCGATCCACCGGATCCACTGGATTCGCACCCTTTCGATTGGTCGAATCCGGATTTGGATCCGGTCAACCCTCCTCGGGGAGCAGGGTTGACTGGATCCAACGGATCCAAATGTGACCTTTGTGCGTATATGGCGGGTAAAAATCATTTTTGTACACATTGTGGCACGCACACGTGGATGGAGATAGAGCTTGTTGACTTTTTGTACGACGCACGCGATGAGCACGACGTTCACCCTTTTGGGTGCCTTGTGAGCGCCATTATCCACATAGCAACAGTCAGTGTCCAAAATAAAATGTTCAGTTGAATGTAAAGGATCCGAGGGCACTGAGATCTGGATCCCGATCTCGATCCTTACAAATCGAACATGACCTCAGACTCATATCCATATCCGGATCCCTGTGGAACACCGCATGTGCATGCATTACAGGGTGCGTCCTGGGTTCCAATGCGGGCTTGCGGGGTTCGGTGGCTGAGATAGTTGGCAAACCAACTTAATGCCGTTCCCGAAACGCCAATGTCGAACAAGTCCTGCAGCAGCTTTAATAGGGTGACTGACTTTGTCAAACGCCTTTGACATGTCAAGTAGGCAGATGCAGCAAAGCAATGCAGAGTCCTTCGCGGTGAGAACACCATCCGTGAGCAGCACAAGTGCATCTTCAGTGGAGTGATCCTTCCTGAAGGCAAATTGGGTCGGTGGTAGAACATTGTGTTCATCGAGGAATGCCACAGGCTGCCGCTGCACGAGCTTCTCTAGCAGCTTTGAGGCAATCGGCAGCAGGGATACTGGACGATAGTTCCCGGGGGATGTTGGGTCTCCAGACTTGTACAGAGGCCGGACCAGGGCCTTCTTGAAGGCAGAAGGTACAATGCCCGTTTCAAGAGACTCATAGAAGATCCGTGTGAGGGATGGTGTGAGGATATCACTGCAGGATTTGAGAAGCAGCCCAGGTATTCCATCACTGCCAGTTGCCTTCACCGGAATTATCACTCCCTTAGTATTGACTCACATAGATTTTTGCCATACCTAAGCAGTCAAATATTCCTGCATATTTCATTCCTTAGGGCTATATTGACTGCTTATATTTGACTGCTTAGGGGTTGCGCAGTTGAACGGTGCCTAGTGCAGCATTGTCAGAGTCACTGCATGAGTAGGTGGTGGTGCAACGGTTGTGCAATCGTAAAACCGGGATTCATGAGGTTATCGTTCTGGAATTTGAAATACGGACTGTTTGTCGTGATAAATCTAATATTCACTTCGTACTTGGTCAGTATAGGAAATAAAAACCTCGTAAAAGACCTCGGCTTCGCCTCGGTCTTTTACTCGGCTTTTATTTCCTATATTGACCTCGTACTCAGTCAATATTAGATACTTATCGCTTGCAGAAGCTTATTCACAGCAGCATCAGATGCTCTTCCCAGAAAGCTGAGTGAGTGTTCAGCTGGGGGTCCATTCGGTAATGGCAAGTCGGCTGGCCGATCAGGGTCAGTTACAATGTTGCCAAATGCCACGATGACCTTGTTCACATCATCTGCAGGGTCTTGTTTGCTTTCTCCTCTGCAAGTGATGGAGTTGAACAGGGACCACATCTTCCTTGGATTGCGATTGTTGACAACACATTCATCACTGAAGTACTGGTTTTTCCTCCCTCTGACAAGGTTTGCTGCCGCCTTTCGAGCACGTTTGTACTGGTGGAATAATGCTATGTTAGCCCGGTCTCGCAGCCATCTTCGGTGCAGCCTGTTCTTTGCCATTGTTAGCTGGTAAGTGTCTCTGTTAAGCCATGGCCTTCTTCTGGAACGCTTCTTAACTGGGGTCATCGGGGCATGATGGTCCAGTACACGCATTATGCTAGCGTGCCAAGTGGACAACATATCGTCGACGCTCGCATGTGGAGGAAAAATGTGAAGGTATGCTGCAAGCAGGTCAGCGCGGAGAGCTGCTATATCCACTCTGTGCAGCTGCCTAGTGAGGAGCGAACTCGCTGGCTGGCTTACTTCAGTAGCACAGCTGAGTGAAGCACTCACAGCAAAGTGATCGCTGATGTCCCATGGTACGATGTTCCAGGATGTTCAGCTGGCATGGTTGACCAAGACTAGATCTAGTATGGTTCCACGCACACATTGGGGCAGAACACGAGTTGGTGCTGTCACGACGTTCTGCAGTCCATAGCTTCCACATGTGTCATGCATGTGGCGCACTTGTGGGCCAGGAGAAACTGGGTCAGCATTTACATTGAAGTCGCCCATCATAGTGACCGATCCGGTGTTGTTGGTGGCTGCCTGTAAGACAGTCTCTAGTCTGGGCCAGAACGCAACTGTTTCACTTGGCGGCCGGTACACACACCCTAAGAGATGAGGCGCCTCGGCACATTTAAGCTCGATCCAGGTGCACTCTACATCATCCGCCGTCAAATCCGGGCGAGGCTTCACCGGGAGGGTCGACCTGAAGTAGATACATGTTCCACCTCCTCTTCCACCGACACGGTCTTGACGGGCAATACTGAAGTTTGGGATCCGGATTTCTCCATCAGACACTGTGCCATCAAGCCATGTTTCAGCAACACCGACTATGTCCCAGCACTGGTCCGCAATCAGCTGCTCCAGGGCGTCGACTTTGTGCCGAAGGCTACAAATGTTGATAAAGCCAAAGCGTACCCAGGAATTTGCTGGGGCGCCTTGATGGGACCGTGGTGTAAATGGAATGGCATTAGGGTTGAGATGTCTAGTGAAAAGACCTGGAATAGATGGGGCGGTATTAGGATAAGGTTCGCGTCCTGATGGAGAATTAGGGTCACCCAGTGCTGCCACCATTCTTTATCACTGGTCGGATCTGTGGTGGAATGTTTACCATTGCTGCTGCCAAGATTGTCTTGTGATGCTGCATTCTGATGTTGGTCACGGTCTTTAAACTGCCATGGTCTGGCGTACAGAGGTCTTGGCCAGAAGTTTGGGGATACAACAAGCAAGAGGGCACTTGCTTCAACGATTAGTCGTGCTGACACCTTTCCATTTTCTGCTCTGTGCATGCTGCAGTCATGCACAGTGGTCTCTGCTCCAGCCTTGGCTGACCTTTGTTTCACAAAAGCTGCTAGACTCTCCTCAGTGCACGACTCGCTCAGATTCCCAACGTACAACATGGCTTTCTTTGTCCTGGGTGGCTCCGCTGACACCAACTGCCAATTGTGATCTGCAATGACATCCAGGATGGCTTTACTTCTTCCGTCATTGCGCTTGGCCTGCTGGAGCTTGGAGCCTTTACCTGCTGCAGGGTGTGTAGGTTCCTGATCACTGCTTTCAGTGTCGTCAGTGTCACTGACGCTGTCACAGACGCTACGGTGTGCAGTTGTAGTACTCATACAGTTACTGGAGTCATTGGTTCCCGTAGCTGCACGGCCAGCTTTCTTGTCTGAGCGTCTACGGGATGTCTTGCTTGCACGCTTGCACTGGGCCTGGGGAGAGACACTAGACGAAACAATGGCGGCTTCTTTCAGCGAAACAACATCCTCACTGAGTGCATTCACTTGCTTCGTCAACAGGTCGATCTTGTTCAGCAGGCGTGTCTCCCGGTCGGCCGACTGTGACACGAGGGAGGACAGTGTTGTGACTAGTTCTACGAATCAGATGGTGATTGTGATCGTAAGAAGTCTGCCGTTTTTCTTCACTTGTTGTCTCACCGTAAGTGTCTGCAGGTGTATGATGATTTAAGTTTTTCTGTTCTTTGTCGTGCTCGGTATGCTAGTCAGTTGAAAGTACTTGAGGCTGTTTGCATTCGTTTGCATAAGCCTGATCTTTGTAAGCAGAAGAAACATGTAGTTGCGTTAAAATTGTTTTCGTAGGTGCACTGCATGATTGGTTGTCTCACTTCACAGTTTTAGCGTTATAATTAGTTTCTCGACCGCCGGTGCACTTAGCTCTCACTTCACCTCAATTGTCTCACCTTCCCTCATTCTATTTTGGCACTGTATTTTGTTCTCGTAACACATCATTGAATGTATATTTAATCATTGTTCAGCATGGTTACTTTTCAGTCACGACTTTCCACTGATGAATGTGACAAGAAAATTAATTCTGGTAAACTTTCATGACTTCCTTGTAGTGTGGCGATGACTGCAGAATTTGTTCTCTTTATTGATATTATAAAATTGTTGTCTCCACGTCGATTACTTGTAACAAAGGTCGAATTTAAGAAGAGCAGTACTAGACTAAATGGCTGAGCAGATGTTACTCCGTTGTTTTCTGTCGCGGGCATACCTGCCGAGATCACGAAGGCAGCTGGGCTTAAAAATGCAGATATTTGTGAGGCGGACGTCTCGCTGGAGACTTGTGGTGAGGCAAGAGTGGCTTACTGGTAGCATATGTACATAAAGCAGTCAGAGCAACATTTTCAGGGATATCACTTGGCTGGCATAATATATGTCCTAATAGCTTCCACCTGTCCCGCTTGGCCATTTCAGATACAAGGCACTGGCCAGTAAGAGCATATAACTTTGCATTCGAGATGACATCTGGGAAGGTAAATCCAAGGGTACACCACAGCTGTTTCCTATGAAACACATTTAGGCGCTTTTCTTGTGCACGGAACAGGCCATAGGAAGCAAGGTTGAAGGTAAAGATTGGAAGAACGAAAGTGTTGTATAAACGAATTTTAATGGGAGTAGAAAGCAGGTTGTGTAGGAACCATAACTTCAGAGTGCCTCCAAATGCTCTTGCAGCCCAGCCAATACGGCGCGTTACGTCCTCCCCGGAGCAGTGAGCCGAGTGTGATCTTTGAATAGTGACGGTCAACTCAGAATATTGCAAAATTCACTTCAACAGTTAAAGGAGACATTCTGGTAACCTCCCGCGACAAAGCGTCCATGTTAGCGCGTGGCACTTTAGTGAGACGGACTTAGCGCGAGGCATTTCAGCTCGGTTCCATTTTAGCGCCGTGTCTTGACAGCGCCAACGATTTCAGCGCGAAATTTTAAAGCGCGGGACATGTCAGCGCCAATTTCTTCAGCCCAGATTTTTTCCGCGGGGAACACTTCAGCGCCGTACATGTTAATGAACGTACGTCCACCAATTAGTGACTATTAGTGGCTATCAATGACTATTGACAACTTGTACGTCATTACCACTGCGATGTACCCCAGTTGCCCTATAAAAGACAGAGTATTTTCGAGTGTAGGCCATAATTTTCCTTGATTTTCCTATGCAAGCTAACTCTCAAAAATGGAATTGAACTTTGCGAAATCAATTTTGTCAAAGAATCATCTAATCGCCAGAAGCCTCAAATGTTTACCGGCGAAAACGCAATGAGCATTTCCAACAGCAGTGTCGTGATCACTTCTCCAACCTGCGGATGATGTGGTCCGTGATCAACTCTGTCACTAGCCGTTCTCGTCAACATCATCAGCCAAAGTGCGACATCACAGAAGTCTCGGATGCCTTCACAGCATTGTACATGATCCGTCCCGTCCGGCGCAGTTCCAGACTCCCATTGGTCCACAGCCGCAAGGCTCAATGCTGACCTTCCAGTCAACCACCCTAGATGAGGTCAATCACCTCCTGGAACGGATAAATCCCTGCAAAGCCACAGGCAATGATGGGATTCCTGGGTGTCTGCTACATGCTTGTGCTGACCTGTTGGCTTCATCGCGTTCAGTGCTCTTCAGCTCATCGCTGAGGCACGGTGAAGTCCCTCTGGCTTTCAAACATGCTGTAATAAGCCCTCTCTTCAAAGCTGGAGATCCATCGGAACCTACAAATTATCATCCTGTGTCGCTCCTGCCGATCGTATCCAAACTACTCGAGAAGATAGTCCAGAAGCAACTTGTTGCACATCTTGAGCGATCATGTCCCATATCACCAACTCAGTTTCCCTTCGGCCGTGAGCACTTCACAGAGGACGCCCTAGTTGTAGCAACAGATGCCATATTAAAGGCCCGGGACAACAAGTTGACCACAGGCGTCTGCCTAATCGACATATCAAAAGCCTTTGACAAGGTCAAACACAGGCAACTGGTCCGGGACCTTTTCGATCTCGACCTGTTCAATGCCTTCCTTTGCTGGTTCTGCAGCTACTTAAGCGATCGAACCCAGCAAGTGCGCATTGGCCCCACCTACAGTGTTGCTGCTAAGTGCTCATCTGGTGTACCTCAGGGCTCGGTTCTAGGACCGATTCTGTTTAGCATGTACACCCGTGATGTCCCTGCCATAGCCCATCCTGCTCCATCTCTGCAATTGGCCGATGACATTGTGCAGTGCCACATAAAAATCAGTGCTACCCACATCAGCCTGCCTATCAGGGGCCCTCACCAACGTCGCTGACTGGCTGAAGCATCGACATCTGCATATTAATGCCAAGAAGAGCCAGGTCCTGTCAATTGTGCCACAACGCAATGCGGGTCAGCATGTCACTGTCCGCTGCAACCAGACAGAGCTTTTCCTGAGCCCAACAGCAAGTTACCTCGGCGTGACCCTTGACGCCACTGTGAAGTGGAACCCCCATGTTGACGCGATGGCGAAGAAAATTTAGCAGACGATTGGAGCACTGTGGCGGTCCCGCAGATGTCTGAGCCCCAATAGTCGCATCCAGTATGTGAGGTCAGTCATCATGTCTGACCTCCTATATGGGTCTAACACCTGCTCTTCCTCCCTCAAGGTTTCGCAGTTTGATCGTCTTCAGGTCCTGCAGAACTGAGCGGCGAGAGCGGTATACGGTTTGCCGCCTCACACCTCGGCTCAGCCTGTGCTCGAACTGATGTCCTTGTACAGAGTTCGCGAGTGCTACGCCCAGAAGCGGCTCGTCCTGGTGAGGCGCTGTGTCAATGGGAAAGCCAGCAGTGTCCCCCAGGACCTATTCTCACCATCAGCTGGCAGCACCACCCGGCACCAGGTTTTCAGGGGCCTCACTGTCCCCTCGGCACAGTCAGAAGCCGGCCGATTTCGCCTGGCCTTTCAGGCAGCGATAGCCTGGAACGCCCTCCCAAGGAGTGTAAGGGAGATCAAGGCTGCCCAGCAATTTAAGCTTGCCTCTATCCCCTATGCCTTGCAATGAATGCTCTGTCTGACTTTTCCCGTCCACACACCACGTCATTTACTCTTCTCTGCGTGCTTGTGCGCTTATGAACTCTTTGTGTTCCCTCTGTTGACGCTTCAATCTCGCTCTATAGACACTGCAAAATCGCTCTGTTGACGCTGCAAAATTGCTTATCATCTCCATCCCTCCCCCCCCTCTCTCTCTCTCTCTCTCTTTCTCTCTCTCTCTCTCCCCGTAGCTCTCTCCCTTTTGAAATTCGCTTCCATAGAATTGGGCACCATTGCCCGTTTGGCCTTGCGAAGTAAAATAAAAATCAACAACAACAACATCACCAAATCCCGCTAGCGAGAGTGCAGACGAGACCACTAATTCCGTGTGTATGGTAATGCGTACGATACTGCTCAGTATAGTACGCGCGAAAGTAGGGACCGGCGGATTCTGCTCGAAAAGGTGGCAGATTCTGCTGGAAAAGCGGTAAAATTGGCAGAACCATACAAACCTTATGGCGGGCAATTACTCGAATTCTGCTCCATTGTTTTATCCACATACCAAACATGCATGAAACTTACCAGAAAAAGTACCGTATTCTGCCAATTTTTCTGCCGGCAAAATTCGCCGGACCCTACGCTAAAGTGTTTCCCGCTGACATAATTATGTCAGGAAATGCGCTAAAGTGCTGACCTTGACGTTACCTCGCGCTGGCAGGAAATCGTGCTGAAGTGACTTGCGCTGACATTACCTCGCGCTGAAGTGCCTTTGCTGAAGTGGTCTATCTGAAATGCCTCGCGCTGTAGTGGACGGGCTGTCGCGGGGTAGAATCGAAATTCTAGACTAGTTTTCTACTAAACGCTGCCGAGGAAACTGCAGAAATACTTGTTTACCGACATCAATTCCTGATGGCGGCGGTCGGTTTGTTCTTGAGACGCTTCACATTTTCGATTCTTTCCAAATCATGTTTAGCATAAATATTACATGTAATCTACGTGGAGCAGCACGTTCCTTTGTGATTGCTATTCGAATCGGGAAAATCCATATGACGAAGGTTAGCTTCTTCTATAAAATTAACGAAGTACCCAATGATTGTGTAACGAGAAGGTCACTGTAGGATCCATCTCGTTTTATCGTTCAGCTCATAACAGTAATTGTAAGGTCAATCCAACAGCTTGTGAAGAACCTTTTTTTTTTTATTCTGGTAGGCCGAGTGGAGGATACTGTCAATGTTTGGATCGAATTTGACTGGATACTTATAGTTGCGGTTCGGAGCGAGATGCTCATGGAAATATCAAGTTTCAGTGAACAGAACCGAAATGATTACATTTCATCTTAAAATCAGGAAGCAACCGACAGTTGATCGGCGACACGTACTATTATGTCGTTGCTTAATTTGGTTCCTACCATTTGCTTGTGGCACGGCAGACACGACAGAGGAAGAGCGCACTACACTGGCACCCATTACACGTAGACCTGTGTCGACAACTGTCAAAACAAGGCCTACAACATCAAAATATATTATACCAACGGATCCAGGAGACACAACCATTTCACCGACTTTCGTCACAACAGATCATGCCATACAGCCTACCGAGGTCCAAGCAACAATTGGAAATTGGTCTGTGACACCATCCTACGAAAAACCCGGTATTGAAACGTTGGCCTGGGAGCAGCTTGGAAGCGGGCACTTTCTCTATCTTACTAATATTCTCTGTCTGGATATTGAGAATATGCTCTGATGAGTATTGTATTGTTCCATTGTGGTGTAAGGTCAAGAGGGTTCCATTAGGAACTATCACTAAGGTTAAGATCCTAGATACTCCTGCACTGCATTAACAAAGAGGAGAGAGGGGAGATGGTGGTAATTTAGTGCAGATGCCTTTTAGTGACGATCATCTCATCACGTTCAGGTGTATGATGCATCCACATGCAGTAGACAACAAGAAAATACAAGTAGTTGTACCTCATAACCGACCACCAGACCACAATCCCTGGTCACCAGTCAAGACAAGGAGATTTTTCATTGTACAATCATGTATATCCATTATCAAGTAGCGAAATGGCCTATCTCACATTCTGTGTAACGCTGAGAACAAGGGTAAAGGGCGTTAGACCCTTGAGACTGTACTGTACGGACTTAGAAACTATAGCAAGAGCCACGATGGAGTTTATTCTGCGCTATTCAGTTTCAATTGGTGAAAGACATAGGCAACGCGGGTGAAAGGTTTCATCTCGCCAGAATTAATAATGTTTTGGGTGTCGCTTTTTCATTTACTTCCCCTTACATGACCAAGGCTAATACTTAGACTGAAGGGTCAGTAAGTAGCCGAATATACAGCCCAGAGCCTTTTGCAATTCTGACGAAAAGCCCAGACTGAATGCTTCACATGGTATATGTACAGCGTTATCCGAAGGTGTAAGCCATGTGGATTGAATGAATCTAACTCCACTACTAAATCCTCGTGTTTATGGTGTTTTTGTTCCTTTCCTTGTTTCACTGACTTCAGATTCGGTACAATCACAGTCAACTGTACCAACCGCATCATCCACTATGGCTTCAGCTGAATCACATATATCCAGTACGAACAGCCATAGGAACAACCGTGTACCGTTGCTTAATTAGAGGCGGGAATGAACTCGTTGCTAAACTGTTATATTATCTGTCACACTTAGCTTCATACTGACTGAAGTAAAAAAGGCGAATTTTTCAAGCTAGGATTTCAAATAGTTTGTTACGGATGGTGGTACATAGTCGTGGGGTTGATGGTTTGTCGAGTATGTACGATCTATCTTTCTCCACACTGCTCCATTGCTGTCCATTCTGGCAACTTTGTTAACAGGTTTTGCTGCTACATACCATGTGCCTGTGTTTACTGCAGACACGACAGAGGAAGAACCCACTACATTGGCACCCACTGCACGTAGACCTGTGCCGACAACTGTCAAACCAAGGCCTACAACATCAAATTATGTTACATCAACAAAACCAAGAGATACACCCATTTCACCGACTTCCTTCACCACTGAGCACGACACACAGCCTGCATCCATGTTCCATACAACAATTGGAAATTTGTCTGTGACAGCATCCGACGAAAAACCCGGTATTTAAACGTTGGTCTGGCACTGTGTCGAAAGCCTACCCTTTCTCTATCTTAGTAATGTTCCATATCCGCAGATAGAGCGTATTCTTTGATTAGCATTGTATTGTTCCAGTGTGATAATAGTTGTGCCTCGTAATCGACCACCGGACCATTACCTCCCCCCCCCCCGCCCTCCACCATGCACAAGTCTAGACAAGGAGCCTTTATATTGTACGTGTATCTGCATTCTCAAGTTGGCAATAAGCCTATCTCCCTCTCTGTGAAAGCTTACGATAAGGGTATGGGGCGTCAGACCATTTTAAGGGTCTCACGGCCCTTAAAAAACATTGTACATTATGGACCAGGAACTATTGCTAGAGCCACGATGAAGTTTGTGTTGCGCTATTCGATTTCAGTAAGTTAAACGCATAAGGTAAAGCTCGTGAAAGTTTCAACTGGACAAATTTTGTTTTGTTTTCGGTGGCACTTTTTCATTTACATGTACTTTCATTGAGCAGACCAAGGCTAATAGTTACACTGGCTGTTTAGACAGAAACCGAAAATGCATCCCATGGCCTTTGTAATTCTGATTAAGAATTGTCTCGCATTGTGTATGTATAGTGTTATGCGAAGATGAACACTGTATGGTTTGAATGAATTCAATTTCTCCATTGAATCCTTATGTCTGTGGTGTTGTTGTTCCCTTCCTTGTTTCACTGCCGTCAGATTCGGTACAATCACAGTCAACTGCACCAACCATATCCCCTACTACTTCTTCAGCTGAATCACATATTTCGAGTTCAAGCCGCGCTGAAACTGACGAAGACGCAATCACCATGACACAAGAAGCAACAACTCCAGCTCCTCTACCGACAATTCAATCGACCAGCGCATCTCTGATTGCTGAATCCACCAACTACATCTGGATCATAGGCGTGGTGACTGGAAGCATTCAAACTGTGATTCTCATTGCTCTACTATTTGTGTTTCTATATAAGAAATGCCGCCGAACCTCGGCACAGGTTCATTTAACTAACACCCGAGATCATGGCAGCGATCATGGCAGCGAGCCTCCCACCCAGGGATTGAGCAATCCTGACTATAGCTACACCGACTTGCGTGGAAATGCGTCTGACCCAACACGATCCGCGTATTCATGTGCTAACCCTGATCGAGACTACCCAACAAACCAGCAGGGTGCCCTGGAGGTTCAATATACAAACACGACTCCACACGGCAGCAATAATCTTGTGCCACAGAAACCGAAGACATCCAACGCTGAGGAAGAATACTCCGTAGCTGGCGCAGCCACAGACCATCGTAACCAGTCTCTACAGGAAGATGCAGAACATGCTTCATACACGTGTCCAGAGGAATCCTCCATTCTAGACCTAGAGCAACGACCTGACTCCACCTATGATGAACTACGCTATGCAAGCCAAGAATGGAGCACACTTGGAGACGCAAGACAAAAGGGGTATTCAGATGCGGAGGAAATTGACCACTGGACCAACCACAACAGGCAGAGTCTTCATACGACAAACTATGCCATCCCAAGAGTGGGAAGGCACGTGCGGCCAGTGGGGAGCCACTTTCACATATACATCCTGGTCAAGACGAAACTGCCCACGAAGACCAGCTGCAGGAATCGGACCCTGTGTACGACAATATACAGGAGGACAAAGGAGGCAAGGATTTCGGCGCTCTCGCAGACATACAGAAACAGGACTATGACGATGTTGACCTGGATTTTGCACTGTCTAACAGGTACAGCAACCAACCAAGCGTCACGTGTGATTCAGTGAATGCAACCACAACGAGAGATTCGAGCCTTTGAATATACGAATGCAGACTCGGAGTTAAAAACCGGCAGTCTGTACGTATGCTTTAGTAGGAGCATTTGCGGATCGTAATTTTGAGTTTCTTTGATTGTTTGTGTATCTGTGTGTGCACGTGTACGTGTACGTGTACGTGAGAGCAGCCGGGTGTTTATGTTTAAGCTACTGCACCTTAAAGCGTTTCTCGTTACTTTATGTTGCCCTTGGAGTATGTCGATTCAATGCAATTGCTGCAGATACACAATGTGTCCCTCAGATGATCATCCTAACAGACCACGACTTCTTTCAACTGCTGTACATGTATTTGCATAGAGCTATGCACTTCCTCGATACATTTTGCCCTTCAATCCCATTAACATCATCCACGTATGCTTGTAGTATGAATGATCAACGAATACAGCTGCACGTGCATGTTTACGTGATAGATCAAATGCACGTGTATTTGCAGATATATTGCACTTGTAACCTCAATGTCAGAGGACCAAATACACTGTAGTTAATGCCATACCATAAACGATGAATTCTATTGAACTTCACACATGTTACATGCGTATCTTCCAATTTCGCACTTGGTATTTCCTTAGCACCGCCATGTCGCATGCAGTCTTAATTGAATTATTTTTCTTTTTAATACATGTACTGTTTCCGTCTTGTTTTCGCTTTTGAGTTTGGAAAGTCCATCCTGACACGAAAGCTCAGGCATATCATTCAATATCCATAGAACTAGTACGTTTTAAAGATGATAATATTTAGTATAGGAGTACATAATCACTATTTTGCCTTTTCCTGCCTTCAATTCAGTCACAACATTCTACTGAAGAAAGTGACATTAAGCATTGCTTCTGGAAACATTTGAATTTGCTCACGCGTGGGGAGGATAGCGGTGTTATTTTTACTTATCGCCTTTGAATTAGGGATCTTTTCTACGTTTTAACCCTTTCCGTGCTAATGACGTCTATAGACGTCATGCGCGCTGTACGCCAAACGACTAATGACGTCTATGGACGTCATGAGATTTGCGCAGTATATCGCTGTGCATAGATCAGTGTACAAACTTTCGTAACTCCGTCAAAATAAGTCTATCGCGACAATCGATACACCGTTGGAAAGGTATTGAGCTCAGCTTTCCAGCAATAGAACGTTCTTCACGATAGGAGAAAGATTACTGGAGCGGCGACGGTGTGAACACAAAATTCACGGCACTGAGCGATCGTGAGTTTTTTTTGTTCGTGCGTTCGCAGTTTTCTGTTGCGTGCCAGGGGATTTCCCTTTGGCACAGCGCATGCGTAATGGACACCAGCGGAAGCACGTGGATCTCAGGTTTGCAGCGCAGTTTGAATAGTGAAAATCGGCTGACCTGGAACAAGAAACCGAAAAAGAATGTGAGATCGAGTTGCTGTGCCTTTCCGAGGCATCGTGAAGTAGTTTCGACAGGACATAGAAGTTGCACCGCCATGCATATTGAGTTGAGAGCTACCAGGATGGATTCGCTTGGTCGTGATCTTTCCAACAAGCCCAGGATGATGAAAATCCATCCAGGTAAACTGAACTGAGAGAAAAATTCGTTCGGACCTGTGCGCGAAAACGACACCAGGAGAGTCAGTGCGCTGGAAAGTCAGTTTGCTGGAGTAAAAGGGGTCAGCACGGAAAGGGTTAATAGCAAGTGTTAAAACACTTAGGTATAAATGTCTTCGATTGCGAATTATCATCCAGCAAGGTCAAATTACCGATTTCACTTCAGTGTTGATCCTTTGATGGTATGCTACCCATATTCACCTTGATGTAATGATGTGAACAAAAGATGCTGCTAGCGTCAGAGCTCGCGCTCTCTTCTGACTGACTGACTCGTGATTGCCTGACACATGACTGACTCACGGCTACCTTCTGGGGTACACCAGAAGATTTCGGGACCATCCACTCTTCAAACCTGCACATATCCCTCACCGTGAGTCCGGCATTCAGTAAGAAGGAATCGAAATTTGTTAGCCAGCAGTCAAAACCTTCTTGGAGAATTGTCCAGCAATATATCAGTCAGAAGCAATACGGTTTTTGAACACTGGGTAAAATGTCTGAATTTCAGTTCATGCATCTTAATCTATAGAAATCAGAACGGGGGGGGGGGAACGACAAAATGAATGTTATTCAAACAAAACTGAGTGATGTTTAACCACGAAAGCGTGTTTAGCGACTTGCTGAGTAATTCCAATAGATTGATTTAGTAACTCGATGCCTGTGTGGCCTTAACCCATACGCAAGGTTCATTAGCAGTGGTTCACGTCTAGCAATAGTTTAAATTACGGAGTACACACTAGGTACCCAGCATGGAACAACCTGCATACGTCCCACAGTGCCGATAATTGGTCTTGAAAAACAGTTCACCACAATGAATGACTTGGGGAATATTCACATTTTCATCACTCCAGCATGAGCATACCCGCACTGAAATTGACCTCCTTGAGAGCAAGGTTAGGACGACGTCACTTGCTTCTTGGTCATGTACAAGCTTCCTCCACAAATACTTCCACAAATTGGGTGAACTGACTCATGCATAATCGTTAATTCTATGATTGAATATGCTGAAAATTCATCTGTCACGACGTGCCCTTTGTGGAAAATGGCTGTGAGGACTGCAGCAGCTACGCGTGCTCCCTGGAAAGACAACTATAACATGGCCCCATGACCACAGGATTTTCACACGGGTATCATGGTGAACTGGTGGGCAAGCCAAACTTTCACTTACGTTGGTTGCAAACACGGAATGTTTCGACGAGTTGGTTCATCTAGCTTTTCTCAGCTCATGGTACTTTGCGACCGTGCTCCAAAGAGATGGATAAAACAATCTTTGGATGGCATGTGTTACTGCTCCGATCTTCATTTCAGTTTATCTAGAGTTAACTGCACTCTTTTGATTATACAGTCATGTACTTGCACGTGAATTGACCTTTTGACGCCCATCGCAGGAGGGGACGATAGCGTTGCTACGGCAGAAGCGACAGGAAGTTGTGCTTGGATAGCAACCTTCAACAGGTTGAAGAATTGACCGCCACTTATCAGGCTGGTCTACACCACACAGCTATGCAGTGGCGTTTTCTGGCCAGTGAATCCATACTTTTTCGTCTTTTTCCATTAAAAAAATGAAATGCACGGATATTATGTATAGTATCTCTTTCATAATGCAGATAGTGACACAAACTGTGCAGCAGTAAGCAATCTTACCCGCTATTACCTCGCTCGGTTTATAGTCTTCAATAGGGAACCTCACGCGAACCTTCGCCTCGTGGTCCAGATAGGAGAGAAAGCTGCTACTGAAGTACATCGTATGAGCATTACTCTGCACAAAGTCAATCAACAAATGGCATGTAGGACTTGCAAGTAGGAATTGGAGTACGGCCACTGATGGGGAACACAAAGTACCTGATAAATAGTTCAAGAAGCATGGCAGCACAGCAAACTGGAATGAGAAAAACTAGAATATTGACTGTTGGATGTGTAATCCAACGCTCTTTATCACACGAGTGCAAACAGTGTGACTTTGCGTTTAGCGTTTCTGTGGAAGATTGTCAGAGCTACCTTTGTCATGTTACTACATTGAATTTCAAGTTAGCATTAAGACACTACACGCCTGAAGTACGAGAATCTACTCTGATACATAACTGCACTACAATCATGAACATGCACTTCAGGTATTGCAGAGACGAGAACTGACCTCATACTGTCAACTTCCATACTTCTCTGATGTAAACATATTATAAACATGGTGCATATCGTGACAAGACAGGTGTGATTTTATTTTAGCTCCACAGTAGGATACCGGATGGCGTTAGACTGGTGGTCTCTAACTGTACCGACGCAAGAGACTTTGAATTGGTGCAGAGTAAGTAGATGTGCTTCCTTATGGTTTGCCAAAGACGTGGGCCTAAACCCAAAAACAAGTGAAGTCTGGGGAAAATAGGTTATCGCTGCTGATACACGCCACCTTCATACTGGCTTGAAGTTACGCGAATACAGCACGCATCTCCTATAAGGTTGGCGGCTATAGTGATCAACTTCTCAAATTCATTTTCATTTGCCATAACTAAGTGTCCTGAAACTTTATTCATAATTATGATGGTAAACACGCACCTGGCTATATGGCGGTAAATACACGCCGGCCAGTGATTAAACAACAGGAAGAAAGGAGATGAATTCCCGTAAATACAGTACTGTACAAGTATAATGTATAGTTACCACGTACAGTAATATCGTCTATAATAGTATATGGCCTCTAGTGATCAAATTCAATTTTCAAACCCCTCTGCTGCATAATTTTTGCATCGGGTAAAGTAATTGATGTGACATTAAGTGGTATCAGATGCGAACAGGCGAAATATTTGCCAAGTGTGGTTTCGTGAGTTCTACTTGTATTAGTTGTCCAAAATGCTCCTCCATCATGAAGATGAGTCAGATACCGGACGAGTGACCAGGCGGTGTGGTGGAATGTACGAGTCAGGACCTGCAGTATCGACAGTGACTGCAAAGCGACTGCAAAGTAGAGAGAAAGGGTCAAGAGCTGCGACATTGGAGGTGACGAAAAAGACGCGACATTCCAGCAATCAGCAATCGGCTATCAAGAGTCATCTGTCGGCTAGTGTTACCTGTCCTGAGTTGTAGAGAGATGATGTTTTCTCCATGTTGGCCCGTGGCAGACTGGTACGACATTTGTCTGTTTTGGAAACGTTATAATTATATTGGTAAGTTTTCCCCCTGAACTATGCGTCAGACATAATAATTATGCTTTGTCACTTCAGTTGTTTACCGCTAATCCACGGGAAAGTGTTCGGAATGTTACTCCTCAGTGATGGTTTCATTATGTTTCAGTCATTTCTTCGTCTTCACCCTGTTTTCGACTTGTTCAGCTGAATTTTATTTTCCACACGTATAGCGTGAGGTTCCCGATCTATGCCTTTGCTTTAGCTCTATACGTTACAGTATTTTGACATTTTTTCCATTCTTCCCTGTACTTACCCATGATGAGAAGGGAACGAAAACGTTCGGTTATTAAATTGGCTAACTTGATGGTGTAAATTGCGTCGGTGCTGACACGTTTCTTTAGAGATGTTATTATTGTTATTATTTGCCTCTCCGCGTTTGCATCAGGGTGGGCTACTGCAAATATCAACAAATCGACATAATACACATCTATCCCAAGCATTCGCTCAGGTCGATCAACAAGTCAGAAAACAGTGAGGACAAGAGATAGCGAGGAAGGGGCACAGAGCAGCGGGGTCGAAAGAAGGAAACAAGAAACAGGAGGTAAAGAATATGGAGGAATTATATCAGATTGTCCATTCGTTCACTTCATACATCATGATTGACATGTTCCATTTGGGCAAATCCGGACACTTCTCTGCAGGCTCAGGTTCAGAATAGCTGCCGCCACACGGCTGTGTCTTGTGCCAGGTTCCTGATATGAAATAGATCTTTATTCGTCTGCAGCTTCATTCCCTTTGATGCAAGGTCCGTTCTCAGTGTTGTTGGGAGTGTGGAAGGTGGCCGGCTAAGGATCGTTTTATCGTCCTTTGTTTGTCGGCAGTAGGATGTAATGGCAACTTGTCCTGGGGACTCCTTGTCCACTCTGCCGAGGTTACGGAGTAGTCGTATCCAAACAGCTTTTACCAGGACAGTTAGTGGTTGCGTCTCTGTTCTGCAATGGATGTCATCGTTGCTGATTATTTGTAGGTAGCGGATGCCCACCACGACTCTCTGGTGTCTTCCACATGTCGAGTGAAGAGTACACAGCTGAGAGTCTGAGAGGCCCCATGTGCCTGCGTTGTACATAAGCAGAGGCTTAATGAAGGCTTCGTAGAACCTCACCCGTAGCCTTTCGCTGACCAGATGTCCGCGTGACCACACTGGCCATATCTTGTTAAATGTGCCCAAATCAATCTGGATTCGGCGCGCGATAATCATGTTCTTTGTCTCCGATAAAGAATCCAAGCTTGCATGTTCGCCTCCACTCTTGCTCCACTCGATCCTTCTTCTTCTGGCCAGTAGTGCATTCTGTTTTGGCTTGGTTAACCTTCAGGTCCCAGTCCGCGAGGCAGCCGCCAACAATAGGAATGATCGAATCCAGGTACTCAGAACTGGTGCTGACAAAGTCCACATCATCGGCATAACCTAGGGACGGCGCCAAAGTGAGGGTGATGTCCAGATTAGGTGAAGGTGGGATACAGGAGAAAACATCGCGCAGTGCAGTCTCGAGGTACATGATGAATAACACGGGCGACAGCGAATCACCTTCTGGGATGCCTGATGTTGTTGCGAATGGTCGTCTTTGGGTGTTTTTGATACGTGTTGATAGCTTTGTATCTGAAACCAGGAGCTGGTTTTCAGGGCACCTCATCTGGCTCCACGAATGACCGCAGAGGATTGACGAGTTTCCTGCGACAGATAGTGTCAAGAGCGCGAGACATATCGATACCCAGAATACTGATTCTGTACTGTAGGTGCTGGCAGCGCGCAGCGATCCACGGATAAGCCCATACTACATCTGTAGTGCTTCTATTTGGTCTGTAACCACTCTGCATTTGCCATTATAAGCTTGATCTCGGGGGTTATCTCATTTCTGCAACGAGATTAACTCGCTACTGCCAAGTGTTCGGTGTTGTCCTGTCTCAACGCACATGGTATGCAGTTCAGCCAGATATGTGAAAAGGCAGGCAGCTCATCTTTGAATAATTCTGCTCGGAGTTTGCCTAGCCCAGGTGATTTGTTGTTCTTAAGCCGTGTTGCTAGGTTCCTGACTTTTATTTTTCGATTGGTCTTTCCATTTTGCCTATGTGATAGTCAGCCATGCTCAGTCTGTCTTGGTCGCTATTCGAGAGAGCAGCATTGAAGTGCTCTGCTATCTTTTCAGCCAGTTCCTGAGATTGGACGATTTATTGGCGATAAACTGACTACATGGAACAGCCATACATAGGGCGATGATAAAAGAACACATGGGCAAATAACCAATCAACAGGCTAAGTACGCAATAAGTGAGCGTTGATCACGCGCAGGATACTAGTCTAGACGTACTGTACTATTAGTGCATGCCATTATGTGGTTCCTGCAGCTGGTCACAACTGGTACATGCATTGCATTCACGCATGGATAGCTCCGTTCAATCTGCGCACGCATCCCGTACACTCACGATAGGTCTCGAAAGGCATCCTGTTGCACCCACTGGGCTACACTGCATGTGACTGTAGTGAACGACCACACAGTTACCCTACCCGAAGCTCTACGGACGGTCAGCGATTACAGCCATATGGCTGTTAGAAGTTGTCCAATGTGACTGCATTGGGCGAGCGTTCGGGATTATTCAGACGGTCCTGCAGCATTGCTAGATTTCTTGTTGAATCGATATCAAATCAGGTACTGTTCATGTTGCCTTGTTTGGCCAGAAACGCAGTTGCGTGTCCATTCCCTGCAAGGTTCATCGAACACGACGGACACGTTGCTTCACCGAACGGAAAACCAACCAGTAAGTTCTGAGTCTATTGTTCTACTATCAAACATTGAGCAGGCAAAACATTTCAAATGCCAATCGTTCTCCTTTCGACATGGCCATGACCATGCACTGTACTGTATAACTATCGTTTCGACCTTCTGATTTCGGAAATTCTTTTAGCACTACCCTGAAGCATGCATTGTGAGCATAGTATCTGCCTTAGCTGGCCATAATGCACCAGATGTCTGTCAGCCGAGTCAAAATCTGATAAATAAGCGATACACCCAGGTTTGTTTAGAACAATCCAGGTCCGCTTTTCTGACCGTTATTCTACCTTGCAAAGTGCTCGTGATTAGGCAGAACGGGATCTGCACTGCACACAACAACCAACGCAAACATGTTGCAATTTCAATGGGGGAAACTTATAATCTACAATGTTGCTGTTCAATAGGCGTTCCGTTCAGAAAGCAACACGAATGCTGCTATAACCTCCCGGGAACCAACGACAGCCAGTGACAGCAGCTGGAATGAAAATGCAGTTTCCAATAGTTCTAATTCTCCCAGGTAAGGCTGAAATACTGCTTGACCATCTTTCCGGCTGATATTATCTACATTGTATTTTTGTCCCTTTCCATCGCCATCATAATATTGGGCAAGTCTGCCCATTTGGGTTGCGACGTTAAATGAAAACAAACAGCAACAACAGCAACAACAACAACGACAACAACAACAACAACAACAACAACAGCAACAACAACAAAAACAACAACAACAACAACAACAACAACAACAACAACAACAACAACAACAACAACAACAACAACAACAACAACAACAACAACAACAACAACAACAACAACAACAACAACAACAACAACAACAACAACAACAACAACAACAACAACAACAACAACAACAACAACAACAACAACAACAACAACAGCAACAGCAACAACAACAACAACAACAACAACAACAACAACAACAACAACAACAACAACAACAACAACAACAACAACAACAACAACAACAACAACAACAACAACAACAACAACAACAACAACAACAACAACAACAACAACAACAACAACAACAACAACAACAACAACAACAACAACAACAACAACAACAACAACAACAACAACAACAACAACAACAACAACAACAACAACAACAACAACAACAACAACAACAACAACAACAACAACAACAACAACAACAACAACAACAACAACAACAACAACAACAACAACAACAACAACAACAACAACAACAACAACAACAACAACAACAACAACAACAACAACAACAACAACAACAACAACAACAACAACAACAACAACAACAACAACAATAACAACAACAACAACAACAACAACAACAACAACAACAACAACAACAACAACAACAACAACAACATACCCGTACACACTGGTAGAAATGCAACAACTGGGGACGCACTTACAACAGCAGGCGCTGGTGGTGCACCAGTACAGCCAACATTTACTCAGGGTGCTGCTGGGAGCACAGGATGCGATCCCCGTCAGAACAACTGGCAAGAACAGCGGCGAAGGAGCAATGAATCAGCGGCGCACAGCGATCCCATTGCCCGGGCAACAAAATCCAAAGTTGTGTCTGTCTACAGAAAAATGGCCACAGAAAACCCCGACCCCAACACACTCACTGGAACACATCTTCCCAAGCGATGTGCCTTCTTTATCGGGAATGTTAGCCTTGGAAGTAAGGCACAGTCCATTGTCATCTGGTGCACTGATAGGGGCGCTGATGTATACGCATGCACAATTGCCGAAACCCAATACTTTGGTACCTGCTATTCACGCGTTTCTGTCGCGGAAGAGTTTGAGCAAACGCTGCTTGACAAGGAATTCTGGCCCGACACCATTGCGCACACCGTCCGCAAATGGCGCTATGCCGACTCCGCTAGCAAGTGATGGGTCCTTGGTTACCTAGCCAACAGCTAAATCCTCTTTCCCAACCCTTTGTGCCCCACGCAAGTTCATCACACCCTTCCGCTCATTGCGTTACATATTCTTCTATATCTAGTGGTCATATTCCACTTGCTAAACCATTCCTTCCTGATTCTGGACGACAAACTACTAAAACTCCTAATCAACAGCAGCTCCACGACGCCCCTTACAACAAACTAATGTCGGTCTTCACCCCGTTGAGCGCTCATGCTTTCCCGTTTTTCCCGGACCACGCAAATTCTATTAACATTGTAACTATCAACTGTCGCTCTGTAACAAACAAACTTCCGGAATTGTACGCAATATGTCATGCCAACAAGCCCACCATAATATGTTTAAAAGAAACCTGGCTAAGCCCGTCACTTTTATTCAGTGTTCCAGGCTACACATGCTTCCGTAAAGACAGATCTACACCCAAGAACCTGAGATCAAACCTACGTGGCTATGGTGGCGTGGCCATTCTCATACGTGATGGGACATTTCCACATTGCACCCGTCGCCATGACCTTGATTCTCCCCAAAGCGAGGCCTTATGGCTTAAGCTTGGTGTACCGGCAGGTCTCCGGGCCAATCCGCTACTCATTTGCTGTCATTACCGCCCCCCTTACAATCCCTTCTTGATATCACCTCCTTTTGCGACATACTTACCGACAATCTGTGTTCCTTGGACCTCTCTTTATTTGATGTTTTTCTTACCGGTGACTACAATGCCCACAATTCTGACTGGTGGAGTGGTGACACCACATCGCGTGCTGGTACGGAGCTATCACACGTGTTCTCTAGCTTTGGCCTCCAGCAGCTTGTCAATTTCCCCACCCGTGTCGCTCCGAATGGAAGACTGTCCTGTCTGGACTTGCTTGCTACGAACCTCCCCCTCTCTGAACGCTCTGCTAACGGTGCTGCCCCGCTTGCTGCATCGGATCATTTGGAAGTCATTACAACGCTAGCCTACAACATTGCCACTGCTAACACCTCTTACAACTGCTCTCAGACTCCTACCCCTCCGCGACATGCCTTCCGCAAGGTTGCACCCTCCACTTGGTCAATCATCAACTCTGCACTTTTTGCCTGTGACTGGCATCTTTTATTCACCTCCACTACTGTTGATGAAGCTGTGGAGAAGTTCACCACAGTTCTTGATGACGTGCTCTCCTTCTATGTGCCACCATACGGAGCAAGACCCGCTACACCTAAACATGACAGCCACCACCCTCGTCAGTCCAGCCGTAACCCCAAGATCCCTTGGCTCGACAAAGATCTCCAAGGTGCAATTAAACTCAAATACGACTACTATAGCTTAAGTAAGAAGTACTCCACCTATGCTAATATTTCTTTATACAAAAACAGCGCAGTCTGGTGAAGTCATTGTCACGTTCTAAGTATCGAGCATATTTACGTTCGCTCACTGCCACCCTATCTCACCCCTCTTCCAGGCCTAACCTGTATACCTTTGTTCGCACTCAAAGGACAACTAGTACACGTCAAGACATACCACCGTTATTGGCTTCCAATGGTTCGATGGTGACTGACCCCAAGTCTATAGCTCATACTCTCAATACGCAATTCACATCAGCTGGTATTCAAGACGACCATTCCTCTCCAATACCACCTCTGCAACGTTCTGCGACTGTGTCTTCTGATCTGCGCTCTATACATACCACCACATCATCTGTTCGCAGCTACCGAAAAAGACTAAAAAGCAACAAAAGCCCTGGTCCTGATGCCCTACCAAATGAAGTTCTCAAAGTTCTGGCTCCATATCTGGCGTACCCACTGTGCCTTATATTCAACCTGTCCTACTCCTCCGGCGTATTTCCTGATCGTTGGAAGATCGCTAAGGTCACGCCCATCTACAAGTGTAAAGGCTCCCGATCACAAGCCTCAAACTATCGTCCAATATCTCTTCTCTGCTCCCTTTCAAAAGTATGTGAAAAGGTATTTTACGACCAGTTATATTGCCACATTTCACCATGCCTTAGCCCTTCCCAATCTGGCTTTCGGCGCAACGACTCAACCTCTGACCAACTAGCTCGTCTAGTACAAGACATTGCCACCCTTCGTGATGCTCGACACCATATTGCTCTCTGTTTCTTTGACTTGGCAAAGGCCTTTGATACTGTCTGGCATCGTAGCCTCCTTCCCAAGCTACATATTGTCTTTGGTGTGTCTGGCCCTGCTCTCTCCTGGCTGGAGTCCTATCTGAGTAGCCGATCACAGTTTGTTTCTGCCCTCTCCATCAACTCTGATCCTCTACCAGTGTCTTCTGGAGTTCCCCAAGGTTCCATACTTGGACCTCTTTTGTTCGTAGCATACGTAAATGATTTACCCTCTATAGAGGTTATGCGAAAGGATCACGTGCAGGCGGTGTGCAGGCGGCCAAAGCGGCCGCGCTCCGCAGGGGTGGCAAAAGAGATGAAAAGTTCAAAAGAAGTACATGTGCCTGGAATAATTTCACGAAGGAAATTTCCTGTATCGCTGTTACGTTCCTCTTCTGTTCTTTACAAAGGACTATTGTACGAACGCTGAATCAGTGGCCATGACTTCTCCTAAGTTTTCAAAAGTGTATGACGAGTTAGTTGACTCCAGCAAATGCCGGTACCGTGAAAAGCTCGAGCGCGTTGCACCAGACTCGAGTGATCCGTACCTGCCCAGAAGTATTTTTTTAGAGGAAGATAAATTTCCACTTGTGGACTATCCCGATATTTACAATTTATTGGTCAACGCGCCCAGCCCCTACACCAAGGAGCAGCTCAAGGCCTACAAGAGCTTGGAAGGGTACAAATACCTTGTCAGTGGCTGGGTCGGCGATGTTCGTGCGTTTCCAGCGTCCGAATCTGACACATGTGACAGCAAGTTTGTCATCGCCAAAGTCCGCCATTCCCAGTCAGTTTCCGGCACCCATCTGCAACCCTGGATTGCTGCGCAAAACGACGGTAGCGTGATTTGTGCACACTGCACTTGCATGGCTGGTCTTGGTGAGTCTTGTTCTCACGTTGCTGCACTGTTGTTTAGCTGATTCAGAACACAGGAAGCACTTCATTGCCGTGCCAATGGTCAACTCCTTCAATGAAGGAGGTGGAGTATGCCAGGATTCGTGACATAAACTTCACTGCACCCGACACTAAGCAGCATGGGAGCAAGCGCCGTAGGTCGGAGAAGAAGGTCCCTGCTGATATTAAGCAACCCTCCAGTGCTGAGCTGGGTGAACTATAGGAAATTTATGTCAAGCCGGTAAACCGTCATTACTCTACCTTGTTCCCGGGTTCTGCGATAGGTACGTACCTTCCAAGCCCGAGGGATATCCACCCATTTTGGATTTATTGTACGAACCAGACATGCTGGATGCTAGTTTTGGGGACCTGCTCGTTCGTTGCAAGGCAGTATTTCCAGCGGTCTGTGTTTCAGAGGAGGAAGCACGCGCTGTGGAACAGGCAACGCGGAACCAGGCAGATTCCAAGGCCTGGTTTGAATTTCGCGCCGGCCGGATCACAGCTTCAAAGTTGAAGTCTGCCGTTCGCACGGATATTAGCCAGCCCTCTGCGTCCTTAGTCCGCTCTGTGTGTTACCCTGAGGCAC